GAGGTTTTAGGACCGGCAGACGAGACAGACCCGGAAGGGGGAGACAGAAGGGGAACGAGTTCCGGTTCCCTAGTGCCAGAGCGCAGCTCCTCCCCCGCCCCAAGGTGCGCCCTGCCCGCCCGCCCACCACAGCCTTCCAAGCGCGCCCGGGCCTGTGGTGCCGCGGGGCTTCTCCGAGCGCTGGGCGCTGTTCAGGGGACCTGGCCCCGGATTGTCAAGGGTCCCGCGGGCCGGCGACGACAACCACGCCGGGCTGTGGGCTCACATCGCCTCCTTTCTTCATGGGTGGGCGCGCGCCCCGGGCTCCCAAAGGAGACTTGAACACAGGGTTCCCCGCGGGGGCCGCGGACAGGCGGGGCTAACGCAGGCGGTCGCTGGGGGCTTTGTGACACTCGCTTGCCAGCGGCTGGCGCTGAGGGTCCCTGGGTCCCGCGCGGGCGTCTCCCCCTCCCGGCCTCTCAACGGCCGGCTTCCCGGGGTGGGGCCGGCGGAAGGAAGAGGGCGAAGCGCAGGGTTTCAGAGACCCGCTGAGGACTCTCAGCTCTACCCCTGCGGGGCAACCCTCACCACCTGCTGCACGGAGCGGGGCTGGAGGGGTGGTGGTGACGTGAATGAGGGGGACAGCGTGGTGCAGTCCCTATCCTGGTGACTAGGGAATAGCGGGCGCTCAGTGCCTGGACCCCTCTCCTGCAGCGTCCAGCTGCCCTTCCCTTTAAAGAGAGCCCTTCCTAACCCCCCCCCCCGTCCCTCCTTGCCGGCAGCTCTGGAGCCCCCCCAGCGCACACTGTCCCGAAAGGGAGGCAGGGAGGATGACAGGTGTCCCGGATCCCAAATACGAGAACTCCCCGTGGGGCTCCATTCCCTGCACCCCGCTGTAGGCTGTGAGACTCTCAGTAGGGCTACCCTCCTTCCAGGCCTGGGCCTTAGGACCCTGGCACAGCAAGGTCTGCGCCTCTCCAGTGGCCATTGGCCACCAGGGTCAGTTGACCCAGCTGGACTCAGTAATTCACAGCTGTGAAGCCTACCCAAGGTCACACCACGTGGAGGTGAACCCTGCATGGGCCACAGTGCTCCAAGCACAGGAGGGTCACCTGCCTGGGAGGGTGCTGCAGACCAGACAGGACCAGGGCACCAGCCCATGTTCATCCCCATTATTGACTGAGTGCTGGTGATGCCCTATAAGGTTGCCGCTCCTCTCTGTCTTCCTGGGACTCAAAGTCTGTGCTTGGAACTTGGATAAAATGCCTGCCTGATCCCAGGACCTCCTGCTTTGGTTCAGATAAATGAAAAACAAGATACAGTATCTTGGGCACATAATGGTAGAGAGTACTCCTACTTATCCAAGATTTGTTAAACGAGTGGATTACAGATAATACTGAGTCAACGTGGTCTTGGTTGCTGGGACAGCCTCCACTGGGGTTCTGGCTTCACCATTAGCAAGCTCCAAAGTGTCCCACTTGGACATTAGGTGATAGGGCCACCCTACACACAATCAAGACCCTTCCCGTGAGAAGTCAAGAGAATAGGCCACACCTGATTGGCTTGCACACTTTGGAAGAGACAGGAGGGACCCGTCACACTGTGCTGGCTGGGGCAGCACTCAATAATGGGTCCCTCTGGGAAGAATTGCTGCTCTTTAGCTCCAGCAATCTCCTATTTCCACACTCAGCTCAGTGTGGGGGCACAAGCAACCTGTTCCTTTGGAAGGGCTTGCGCTGCTCGCCCTGGGCATAATCTGTCAGTGCACACAACCAAGAAATCCCTGCTCTCCTGCAGTGCCAGTGGGAGTGGGAGTGTCAGTGCCAACAACAAACAAATATACTACTGTATGTTGGAGAGAAATGAAGCCAGGAGAGGGGATGAGGAAAGAGAAGTCTTGCTTTATAGATAACACTCAGGTTAAGCCTCCCCAATATGGTGACATTGGGCAAAGGTTTGAAGTGAGAGCATGAGACTGGCAGGTATCAGGGGTAGAGCATTTCAGAGGAAACAGCTGTGCAGAGGCCCTGAGGAGGACCACCAAAGAGGATGGGGGTGGCTGCAGCATGACTGATGAGGGAAGAACAGGTGCAAATGCTGTAGCCTGGCAGCCCTCCTAAGGCCCGGCTTCATCAGCACACAGCCTCTGAGTCCACTCCTCAGCTTTGTTCCTGAAAGGAACAGCACTGTTGGCAGTACCTCCATGAACCCATATGGCTGCATGGCTGTGTACCACCAATACAGCTGCATTCAGGACACTGACATCAGAACGTCACATGATTTTCACAAATCCTGAAATATTTCTCTTATTTTGATTTTCCCCCCAGCTAAAAATGAGAAAACTATTCTTAGCTCAGGGGCTGTGCAAAAAGAGTGGTGATGAGCCCAGCCGCAGAGCAGAAGTGGACGCGAAAGGGGAGGGCTCTGAGCAGAGGGAGGCACGACCTAAGTCAATCTAGTTACTGAGTTAAACCAGGAATTGATGGACTAACTTCCTAACCATTTCAGGGGTGTCCAAGCTTTTCTAGTCTCTGTCATATATTGGAAGTTGTCTTGGGACACACATTAAATATACAAACATTAACTAATGCTGATTAGCAAAAAAAAAGGCCCCGTATGCTTTTCTAGATATCCCACACCATAGATAAGAAAATCTCTCCCACAAGATCAGCATAGGTCCGTAGACCGCAGGTTAGACACCCCTGCGTTTAAGTTAACATAAGGTGAATTTATTTCCCTTATTTTCATACATAAAAAGCTGTGGTCTAAGCGTCACAAACTAGGGAGCTCTGGGCCAAATTCAGCCTGTAGAACTTATCTAGTCTGTGCATAAATCTGTATAGGGAAATTCTACTTTAAAAGTCCAGACTTTTCCCAAACCTCGAAAAGGCTCAAATTCCTCCGTGGTCAGCCTCCGCTCTGCCTGGGGCCCCGCTGCCATGTAGGCCGGTCGCAGGGCCTCGTGGCCGGTCGACCCTGCCCGGGTCAAGCTCTAATCCCAACTCTCCGCACCCGGGCCGAACGGAGAAGCCCCTTATCGCCTTAGACTTAAAGGCTTAACTGCCCTGCCTTCGAGGGTCCCCGGGGAGTCGCACAGAAGCGGCCCGCAGACACCGCGCCAAGTAAGCGGGACCCAGAAAGCCCGGGATCTCCACTACCGACCAAAGCACTCCGCAGGGTAGGGTGCCCCGATCTCCGAGCCACAGGAAACACCCGCCCGGGTTGAGTCAGCCCTACAGCCCTACAACCCTGGCTGGCCGCAGCCTGCGCCTGCGCGGTCCGCCCGACCCCGCCCCGTCAGCGCGCCGCAGCGATCCAGCCCCTCCAGCCGGACAGGGAAGAGGGCGGGACGCGTGCGTGAGG